CCCTGCCAGAGTCAAAATGTGATGTTTGTTAGTATTAATAAATGAAAACAATGACAAATTGTTGCATTAAATACACCTATTGTTTTTTTCTTTCTTGCTTTATAATTGATATTGGCCAAATTAGTTTTACTTTATATCATATATGCAACATGATAACTTCATTCATTTCTCCAGCTGTTGTTGTAGTGGAGTACTTAATTGATTTTCCTTAGTGGGGAAACCATTGTGCAGTGGCAATGTCTCTGGCCAGGAGTAAATAAGGAATGCAGCCAAAGTTAGTTAAAGAAAGCACTATGCATCTCATTTTACACAAAATAAACAATCTGATTCTTAAACATGTATGGTTTATTATTCCATAGAACTAGGGGTGTAATTTACTTTTTATATGTATTTCAAATGTGCCACCCCTCTTTGGGTTTGTGCCCCATCCTGGACATCCCATCTAAAACTTTCTACATACACCTCTGACTATACTGTATATCATTCATAAGAAGTGAACACAGTGCTACAAAATAGATACATACACCTTTTTCAGCCTTTGATATGTGAGAGAAAGACTGGAAGAGAGAGAAAGTTTTAATAAGTTTGACTTTGATAGATATTTTATTCTAATATGAATGTGTCTGCATTTATAACAGAGGAGACAACAAATATATGCAAAGTTTATAGTATATAGATGGTCCCAGTCTTTATTAGAAGCAATTGTTGCTGATAAACTCTACAAGATCTCACATATAATGCATCCAGACTCCTAAAGAGAGAAAGGATAAGATCTATCAGACCCATTATTAAAACACAGATTGCTTCCTTCCCACAATAAGAATTTCGCATATCTTTCACTAGCGAAGCATATAAATGTGTATTAGGTTTGGCACTAGGTCGGGAAGAATTAGTTTCATTTGCATTATTCATCGACCTAATAGGCAGACACATCTATCATGGCTTGGGTGACTTGCTGTTGCAGAATTTTAAATATTACCTGTTTAGATATACACAGTATATTTACTGAGGCAATTTGCTCTGATAGCGTTTTGTGGAGTGGTCACAACAGTATATATACACCTGGGACTTGAGGCTGCAGACAACATCCTGATGGGCTAATAACTAGCTGATGTCTGAACAGTCGATGAAGATTGTTTGGGGAGAAAAAAAAAGAGCTGAGTCCATTAAAAGAAAGCTTACTGTGCTTTGCTAAGACAACAAAATCAACAGCTCTGGTAAGAGTGGCACTCTGCCAGTGCATAGACTGGTATGCTGTATCATAGATGGCTAATCAATGTGGCGAGGTTCACTTTCCAATAAGCCCATCAGTTAGGGTTGATTACTGTCATCAGCACTAATTAAGCAAACTAGAGTGCCTCCATCCAGATGCATATGGGTGGAGTGTCAACAGACGCATACTGTGGTTGGTCAACAATAAGCCACTGTGGGAATGGAGTTGGGCGTACATAGAATTAATCATTTCCTCACTTTAAAGCTTTTTTTTTTATTGCATTAACTGCAATTTTCTAATCTTTATTTTAACAGGACATCCTCTTGAAATGATTTGGTGAATGAAGTTATTCTTTAACATATTTGCATTTACCCACTCCAGTAATGTCAGTGAATTTAGACTTGGAATCGTATAAAGTAACTATAGTTGTATGGTAAGTTTAAGGTGCAACTTAACCCCCCCATTTCATCTTGAATACTAAAAAAAAAAGGTATTCCAGTCCACTCTCAAACTCTTTGATTGCTTCACAAATACAGTAGATGCTCTGCAAGCTCCAATTACTGTACATGTGTTTACAGATATACAGCTGCATCTATTAGAACAAAGGTTGCTCCAAATGCCAGCAAGAGGAAATTCTGAACTTTAGTGGCCAGCAGATTATTCAACATGATGTCAGCACACTGTACACGCATAGTCATTTTGTCTGAAAGGAGGAAAGCTATACTTCTCTCCTAACTAGCAATTTGTCAGTTTACCTGACAGGATAATTCCACTTGGGCAGAGGAAGGGAATTTGTATGGTACTCATAATTTTTGGACTATTATTCAACTGCTGTATTTTAAAAATATTCTTTGCCTAGAGCAGCTTCCTGTGTGCTGTAGTGTGTGTTTGGTGATTTTTTTTCAAGGACTTAGAAAACTTTGAAACAAAAAAAGTAAAACTTCTCCATCAAGATTCTTAATTGTTCCCTTCTCTAACAAATCTCAACATCTGGAACAGTCTCTTCTTTTGTTCATAGTCAGTTTTCAGCTCAAAACAATACTGCAACTCAAGACAGATTGCATCAGAGCCTCCATATTAGCAAGAAGAACAATAGTGTATAGGGGGAAGGTGGGGATGGTAATGAGTTCTGGATCACCAACCACATAAAAAATACCCTTAACAGATGGGCGCCAACAAGTACCAGCTGCAGAGGCAGTGGAGTGAAGAAGAGACTTGTCTTTGGAGAGGACTGAATAAAGCTACTTCTGTAGGATTTGGTCTTGCAGGAGACAGTAACAGTACTGATACCTTGTGAAGGAAGTAAACCTGTGGGCGCTGACACAGGGTGGCAGGTGGAGTCAGCATGATGGCATACATTGTTGTGCCCCTGTGAGGATGGCAGCTCCACTCTGATCTGATGCCTGATTCATCACAGGTGCACTTGACCAAGGACAAAGAGCTTCCAAACAAAAACTTTATACATTTCAGTGAAGTATTGATTTGATTTATACCTGAAGACTAAGGCTGGCAGGTTTATGGTGGTTTGTTTGAACGTATTAAAAATGGTAATGCAGTACCACTGACACGGTTTTGCCGACATCATAGACCCCAGTATTGACACCCGTAACTTTCAAAAAGTTACATAATTGTCCATTATGCTAAAATCAATTGAATTTCTAGCTTCTACATTCTCAGCCACTGGCAAACTCAAAAGTCATAGCCTCTGAATTTCTGACATTTTTTATTTGATTAGATGAATAAAAAAAGGAACATAAAAGTGCACATAAAAGTTTACAATCCAGTGCTGGACCTTCACAGCATACTAATTGCTATACAAAAGCTGTACAATACAGTGTGTCTTCTTGCACTGCACCAGTGTACCGAGTCACCCTGAGGCTCACATATATATGATAGTTCTCCTCGAGATTCATGTGTTTGTTCAAAGCAAAAGAAAATTTGTTTTGTCACAGCTCTTGCTGCTGTGGATGTACTCCTTGTTTTATCTGCTTGACTGTTTCCCATTACCTCAGTCTTACTTGTAACCTTCAGACAAGGTGAGCAGTTGGTCTACGTATTTATCCCAATCCATTCTGTGAGTGATGCATTCGGCTGATATATGCCTTTTAGACACGATTTAAACAGCCAGCAGCATAAACAGGAAAAAGTGACAGGCACACAGATTGCAAAGGTCCCTTTGACTACGGTGGGAGATTAGTCTCGATAAACAATCGTTAAAAATAATACCCACTGGCTTTTAAACACCTCAAAGAAAAAGCCTGTGCAGAAAACACAAACTGCCAGGGCATAGCCGTGTTTTGATATGTTGCTGGTTTGTTATCTGTGCCTGTGCCCACCTGTGAGACAGAGCATTTGGACAGAGACACAAACACCTTAGGTGCATTTTTGTATGCAGGTGTCATGCCATTTGTGCTATGTGTGAGTGTGTGTGTGTTTGCACCTCTGTGGAGTATTAGTCCTCTGTGTGACTTGACAGTTTTCAGCCTGTGACCTGCTGGATCCAAAGCAGTTCACACTTCTCAGCACCTGGGTCAGAGTACAGCCAAAAAACTAAATCAAAAACAATAACTGGGTATTAACAGATATTGCACTGCAGTGTGTCGAGGTTGTAAGATTGACTTTATTGTTCAAATCAATTTTGTTACATTTTAATTATAAGGGGCAGCACTAGCAGGTTTTTTTGGTGAGAACTGTAATACAGCAAATAAATCAGGGAAACAAACTGTTTTAATAAAATGCTGGGGAAATCCACAAGAACACCATATGCAAAAATGAAGACACTAATCAAATTTCTAAAGACGTCTAATTGTGTCTAAACAATCAACTTGCATGTTTTCATAAATGTGCACAGGGTGATAGAACATTTTTTTCAGTACTGAATATAACTGTGTGTATTTGATAAACATCCAACTGAGCTGGTATAAAGAGTGCAGTGAACACATGCTTGGTCACAGCAAGGAGCGAGTGCTGGAGACATTCACAGTTTCACACCTGGGAACTACAAAGTAACCCTACAGCCTTTGGTCACTGACCAGTGGAAACGTTTAGGTGGTGTGTAAGTGTGTATGAGCATGTTTGTTGGTGTTACCACCTTAAATACTGAAGTGGATATCTGCACATAGATTGTAAAAATAAAAAAAAGAAATCCTTCCAGCATTTCTTCATGCATGTGCCAATGTGTAAGAATAGACCTAAAAGTCAATAATTGTTAATATACCTCCAGCTAAGAGAAGAGATGTGCAATATGCTGGCTTTGTGTTCTCATAGAACAGAGTCTCTGCTAAATCTGATCTGACAACACTGTGTGCACTAAATTGCATTGCAGAAGCATTTGCCAGGGTGGTCAGCAGCTCCCCCTGTGCATTTCCCCCTGCATCTACCATGCATTAACACCATAGGCAGTTTGAGCATATTGTAACAAACTGTCTGAGCAAACTAGTTATCAGGCTTTCCTTTGTAATATTCAACAGCTGAGCAGTGTTTTTGATTCTGCTCCAGGGAATGGAGCCAAGATGCAGCAGTAGTTTAGCAAACAAGCAGTAAAAAAAAAGGAAATTCCATATCTGTATGCACGCATACACATATCCAGCCTCAAATTTACACCTGAGAATGGACGTGTTGCTGTAATGCATTATCACAGACTTGTGGTGTTGCCTACAGAGCTCCAACATACATACTAAATGGAATTCTCTCAGCATCAGCTCGGTGTTAAGCTCTCTTTAAAGCTAAAACATGCACTGAATATTTTAACATTAGCCATGAATTTGATTTTTAGGGTAAAATATATAGCAATTTTTACATAGTTCAAAATTTCTGCCAACTCTCATCATTCCTGCCTCTGGATATTTGCACTGCACAAGGACATGGGTTACATTTGATTTAGTGGTCAGGGCAGCCCGGTCATTTCACCTTTATAATCTGTCTTTGGGTGAATTACGGAAAAACTAGGTTCAAATACAACTTGCCCATCTAAGCTTAATGTGTTTGGAAGAGAGTTTCTGCCAGTCTCTATGATGTAGCAGAATGGGAGTGCTGGTTCTAGGTCAGAGGGCAGCTGGTATACAGCCAGAAAACAATGCTGGCACACATGAATTTTCTGACTTTCTTCAGAATAAGAACAAAAGGGAATCTACATGATGTTAAGATTGTTTTAAAATGACTAATTAGAAATATAGGAAGACAGAAAAACCATCTGTGTATTCATGGCTGGCATTTGCTCAGCTTCATTGTTAATTTGCTACTACCAAAAGCTAAAGACTCCACTGTTTCTGAATGCAAAACAGTACATGCAGTTAGTTCACTGTAAAGATGCATCTGCCAGCTACAGCAGTTATTCAGTTAGGTAACAATCATTTAATAAAAGTACAGTTTTCCCCTTAATAAATGTCTGTATTTCACAGTATTTTAGCTTCCTTTAAATGTGTTAAACACAAGTAACTTAATTTGTGATTCTCTATTTTACTGGCATATAAACCCCCGCAGCCATTTAAAATGCATTACGTTTTCCTATTCCATATTGATCTTTGTTACTCGGCTATGATGCGGCCAGGGATAATATTACTGTAGCTTTCTAAGAGGGAAATCATTTTCAAGAGCAAGGGAAGGAGCCAGAAAAACAACACCAAGGAGAAATAAACAAACATACACTGTAGCATTTGCAAGCATGGACAAACTGGTCTTGAAGTCTTTACTGTCCTTCTTTGTTTAGGTGTGTGTGCTGTACTGTACAAAATGTACCACACCGGTCTATTTTGCTGCTGACATTTTTATATGCACCTGCTTTAACTTCCTTTCAACTGAGTTCTGAATGTTTTAAGGACAAGAACAGCCCTCAATAAAAGCATAAAGTCAGCTATCTCAAGGACAACACTGTATAGCTTAGTGCAGCAAGTGCAATCACAAATTTTATATCCTCAGTCCATCAGTGGGGGAAGTGCACACACACATCACACAGCAGGCGACAGAATGCTGGGTCATCCACAAACAACGTGTCAGCATTTGATTTCAGGGCATCGTACCAGTGATGAACTCATTGCTCATCAGAGGCATCAAACCTGTGACCTTCTAGTTACAGGGTGCTCTCACTAATTACCAGGGTGCACTGCTCAGCAGAAAACACCAGTGTGACCCACAGTCAGGGGTTAATTTGGATCTGGATCCAGCACCTCTCAAACTGTGACCAGCACCCCTTTTGACAAACCTGGCACCTAATTTACATATGTAAGAAATGGGCTATATGAAAGATCTAATGCTTTTTGTAAAACTAGCCTTTCACAGTACAGCAGATTATTAAAATTTAAGTAATAAAGTGCCACATAAAGGTAATTATGTCACAATGTAACCAGCCCACGCTGGTCACACTGGGAGCACATTCATCAGTGTTAGCAACATGAAAGAAAGCAAAAAATGTTTTAAATACCTGAAGATAAAAATATGTTTATTTCACATTACTGGATTATTTAGTCTTTTACAGCAACAAATTTGAAGAACACCATTCAGAAAATAATTTCAATGTGGAGTGGAGTAAGTGAATAAATGGGGTGAAGGCCACAGCAATTTGTGGCAGGGAGCATTTTAGCACACAATACCAGGTCTATCATCAAGTGATATTCTGGGGCTTCATAATTTACTAATTAAGGATGGCCCATGGTGCCCTGTTGCTGTCCATCTTCAGCTGTAAAAATAAAAACAGAGGTCAGATCAGTTTATGTCTCCTTTAAAGGACGAGACAGTATTCACTTCAGGGACTGATACTTGTGGTGGCATAAAACTGAAAGGGTGCATCACCCAAAAACCATTTGCATGATTTGACGAATAATAATTTGGACAGTATACCATGCTTATACTACAGTGATGATAAGCTTGAACTGTAGCTGTGGGCAATGCCACTTCTTATTTATTTTTCAATTAAAAATGACATTCAGAATAACATCCTCACTTGTACTCTGATGTATTTTGGCTTCATGACAGATTCAACAAGGTATGGAACTCCTGACAGTAACAACAACAACCTTTCCCCTGTGTCTCCTCAATTCCAGATTTGGGAATGCTGCCAAACGGCAGCAGTTGCAACCCTGACAGATCTGATAATTCAGGACCCGCTCCCTTAGATCCTGCTACCAAAAGTGCCTCCGTCTCACCTTTACCATTTGACTCATGTTACAATGCTTTGCCTACCCATGTTATCTGATATCTAGTTAAGTCATGAAGAATGCATATCAACTCAATTTGGTATTGATTGCTCTGGTAATTAGGCATAATTTAATTTTACCCACAACCCCCACCTCCCTCAGTTCCATCTTCCTATTTTTTTCTAAAACCCAGAGGAAATCAAGAAGGTGTCGCCTGTGGAATACGTAATTTCTCTGAATATGTATCCCCAGATCAGCTCAACCTGATAGAACACAGCTCCATTTTGGAAGGATTGCTGAGAAGGCATCTAGCTTCATAGGTGAGGAGTTATGATGAACATATGCTGTGAGCAAAGCTGTTTGTTGGCTGCAGGCATACGCCTGACCTGCAAATGAACTTACAGGAGGTAGTAGGCCTACAACTTGGCAAAATAATAATGTGTGGATGGTAAGACTAACTGTGGCTTATAGTTGTTTAATAAGGTAATTGCTCTGTATCCATTTCCAAATCCTGTCTATTTATATACAATGACTACCACTATTTTAAAAGGCCAAGGCCTGCGGAGCATTCATGAAGCATATTTTGAGTGGGAGTATTGGTCTGACATTATTGCCCAGTTCCTCCACACCATATGATATACCATAGCTCAGCCCAACTCTCAATCATCCTGCGAGACTAAAACTTCAGGATTTCAGTTTTTACTGAGTTGTGCAGATTTTAAAATGACTTATGAAAGCCAGTCATGGTAAAAACAAACAAATAAAATCTGAAGATTTACATTCACCAGTCTGTGAATTGATCCAAAACGCCTCACAGCTCTGCCTGCTTTGTTAGCTTTTATACATCAGCTCAAACTGATAACAATGTCTGCATTATCACTGCAAGAGAGAATGTTGCAAGAGGAACAACATTTGCATACCCTTTCAATCAACCTTTCAGGCACATAATATCAGTCTAGATCTCTGACAGAGAGCCAAATGTTGTCAGTATGTGGCGTATTCAAGGAGCTCTTGTGTTTGAGCTTTACTTCTCCTCTATGCAGACTTTGAGCCCTGCACACTTGAAATAAACATAAGTCAAAATCACATTTTCAGTGTCCCCTTGGTGGCTGTTTCACAACTGATGAGCTTCAGAATGTTGTGCCTTTGTTAAGGATAGTTAAGCTTCCACAAGAGAGAGGTTTTGTGGTATAAGAGGAGGATTTAAAATGCAGGCAGTTTTAGAGGCATTTAATAATAACAAAAGCAAGTGGTGGTGGCATAATTTCTTCTTTTTTTTTTTTGAAACTTCACTTAACAAGGGGGAAATTTTTACTAATTTGTGCTGCCTCCACTTGCTAAATCTTCCTGAGGTTTCACACCTTTTTTGTAACAAACTAAATA